TTTCCAGCTTGTCATTTGACAACCTCGTGCCGGGCCCTGCGCACGATCTGCAATACGCATGCAGACGACTCCAGGATACTTGCGAACATGAGGTGAATCGAGTACCTCTTCAAATTTGTCTTGTGTTGAACAACAAGTAACTTGGGCAAATATTTATGCTGCTGAAAAAGTATTGATAGAATTTCTAAAAAAATCCCAATTCCAGCAGACTCAATCAAACATTAAATTACGTAATATACCCATGTACAACAAATACAGACCAGAGATAGCAAATTATCTCATAGAAGCTATTAAGTAACACAGAAAAACAGATTTTCGCTAAAAGTTGAGACTAACAATAAGATCACAGTGCCTAGAGAAAAAAGGAAAATGAAGCCTTCTTCATCACTTCATACAATTTATCCTTCAAATATAATTTTCATCTCCTCAAAGTTCTGCGCATGATTCTTCACTTGCTCTTGGATATGAACAAAGATATAGAAAAAGGCAGGAGCATACAAAAATGGCATGATAGGCTTTTGCATAATCATAACACATTTGCTGGGGTCTGAGGCAAGACCATATTATAAAAGTACTCTGCATGCCAAAATGAAGGTGGCTTCCATGCGCACCAACCTTTTGTAAGGATAGTCTTGAGATCTTCAGCTCCGGTATAGTGAGGATCCAACACTAGGAACATGCAGTCACCAGTATTTTCATCGAAATCAACACCCAAAATCGTGTGGGCAAGCTGTCCTCCTCCTAAAACCATGTTAGCTGATAAATAAATGACAAAACTTGCAGTCTTAACGCAAAAAAATTACCTGACGAGGTACATTAAAGAAAAAATTTGCCATTTTGCCATTAAAGCAAATCCGACATTGACGTTACTCCAATCCTGAGCTCAAATTTGTGCCTTCAGCACAGTTGGCACAGTTTTTCTCCATGTGTAAAGACTTCAGGTGGAGCTTCATAAGAATCGATTATCTGCTTTTTTGTCATGTAGATGCTTTCACAGTATTTCACTTCAGAAACCTGCGTCCGGTAGGAAATTCTGCAGTTCCAGCTGGTTCGGAAGCGACAAGGCTTCATCTACCAACTGAAGTCTACAAGGCAAAAAAGCAGATAATCGATTCTTTTGAAGCCCCACCTGAAGTCTTCACACATGGAGAAAAACTGTGCCAGCTGTGCTGAAGGCAAAAATTTGAGCTCAGGTTTGGAGTAACGTCAATGTC